GAGCCAATTATGGCCAGGTCAAGTTCATGTGCTAGTAACGAATTATGATCAAGTAAGATGAGATATGAATAATGTATAAGGATATCAAGTAAGAGTGATTTGGTCTCATGGTCAATTACATAGTAATTAGGGCTCCCCATGCTATTACTCCGTTATGATATGTTATGTCACACCCCTGATGTGGTGTTGACCGTTGATTCATCATGAGATATGACCACACCCAGAGTGGTGTTGAGTCCGATATGACCACACCCAGGGTGGTGTCAGGTCCGATATGACTACACCGGCAGTGGTGGGTCCGATATGACCACATCCACGAGATGTTTGGTCCGTATTCGCGGGAGAGTAATTAGCATGGGAGTAGCCATGCGCTTATGATTAAAACATGATAAGATGCATATGCATAAGTCAAGGTGGTTGAGTCTTTTGCCTATTGGGATGTCGGATGGCTGAGGTCTGATCCTAGTGCTTGGGCTTATTTGCTAGATGTATGGTAGGGGTATGCTCTGTTATGAACTCACGATGCTATGATTATCTCACTCAGCTATGAGCTGACCCTCTTTATCCTTTTTCTCTGCTTATGCCATGTGTAAGCAGATCATCATCATCAGCAGCAGTAGATAGTATTTCGATAGTTTTGATAGTATTTCGATGAAGGCAAGATGAGGTATGGTCTTCAACTATTCTGTGCTTGGACTACTACTCGGGATTTTGGCCAGTGATCCACACCTTTTTGTAAAAATGTTTTGAGAACGTTTTTCATGTGCATACTAGCTTCTGATGTAGTGTGATATATCCACATGTGTGGAAAGTTGATGATATGTGTATATTTATGTGGTTGTGTAAGTTATGACGACTATGATATGTATTAGTAAGGTATGCAGTTGTGGAGTATGAAACTGTGACTATGGCTATGAAAGCCAATGTATATGGTTGTGAGTATATATGTTTGTCCATGAATGCATGGATTCAGATGAATTATTTTGCAGGATTAGATGGAAGAACTGTTAGCCCATTACGCGAGTAATTCATGTCAAAATTTTAATTGGGTAAATTTTGATAATTAATGCAACACCCAAGATTAATTCCGCTGCAATTGTATGAACAATATGATTAGGCAAAACGTATAAGGTAGGGTGTTACACTGTCAATCTTTGCCCAATTAACAATGCTTCTTCGGACATCATTCAGGATCCCTTGAACGTTACCCCCGGATCCCCGTTTGTCAAGAATGATTTGCTTGCATTCACTGTTTTCCTTCCACCGCTTGTCAAACCGGAAAGGTGTGCCTGTTGAAGGCTGGTACTGGTGAAGGTCCACCCTAGGGATGGCAATGGGTCGGGTTGGGTCGGGTTTTGCCAAACCCAAACCCAAACCCATGGGTTTATCTTTGAAAAAAACCCGGGGTAAAACCCACTGGGTTTGAAAAACTCAAACCCAACCCAACCCGTTGGGTATCCGCGGGTTCATGGGTACCCACGGGTTTTGTCGTAAAAAATTTACAATTACAAGTTCTTATCAAAATTAAAGTCAAATATCAATCTCTCAATACAAATTATCCATATATAAAACACCATTCTAGAAAATTCAAGCAAATCACAAATAAACTATACAATTGTTCAACACCAATCTAGAAAACTCAAGAAAATTGAAACAAATCACAAATTATTCATAAATAACATGTTTAATTGAAAGCTTCTTCCTTTCAATTAAGTTTCTTTACTCTCCACTCCATAACATCAACTTCATTCTACACAATTAAAAAGAAAAAATTAGACATGTCTCCACAAACATAAATAAGATTAGTTGTTTAGAATATTAAATATACCGAAAAAATTAATTATATGAGTGGGCGGGTACCCACGGGCCGGGTTTACCTAAACCCAAACCCAACCCAACCCAATGAATAGTGAACGGGTTTAAACTCAAACCCGACCCAAAACCCGTCAACACGGATTTTACCCGCGTTGACCGGGTTGGGTCGGGTGGGTACCCGTGGATTCGGGTTTTGTTGCCATCCCTAGTCCACCCTGATTGGGCAGTGGTTAGACTCCACGAAATCTTCATGGAAGACTCTTGCTTTTTCAAAACATCTAAGCCAGCTAGCATTACAGAGAGCTCTATCGAGCCTCTCCCTAATCAATTCATCCCCCTGCTGGTTGTTAGACCAGGTGAAGACCTCCCCTGAATACCCGAGATCAATTAAACCATTGCTGTCCATGAAATATTTGAATGGAACCACATTTTCATTACGAAGGGGACATCGCCCCTGTTTTTCAAAAGGCATCAGAGCCACATTTAGATCACCAACAATGAGCCAAGACTCATCGTGAGTCTCCCTCAGGTCCGTGATTCTATCCCACAACAACCTTCTCTCTGCCGCCGTGGCAGGAGCATGGACCAAGGTACAAAAAAACACCACACCATTCTGACTGATCCTAATATCCATAAAGGACTTACACCTATCAATAACTTCTACATCGACATCATCATTCCACCAAATGGCTAATCCAATTCCTTCACTTGCTGGACTAACATAATCACCATGGTCAAACCTCAACACTCTCCTCTTATCTTCCATGAAAGCTTCATCCTTCTTGGTTTCCATTAGGAAGAGGATTGAGGGGCCAAAACGGCGACAGAGCCTGCCGCAGTAGCTCCTTGTAAGGGACTGGCCGAATCCCCTACAATTGCAGCTCAAAATTCTCATTCATTGTTTGGCGGCTTGAGGCCTGTCGCCGACGCCCTCGGAGTGGCTGATTCTCCCTCTCCGGATTGGCTCCCCTTTGCTGTGATATCTGGCAGGTTCCTCCTTCTGATAAGGTTCCTTCTCCTCTGGTACGTCTTTCTGTTTTCCCCTGTGGCAAATGAAAGAGAATCAAAAGATAGGTTAGTGGTCGGGTCCTGCAGGGGCAGGGAGATGCTGCTTGGGCTCCTGTGCTCTGGTTTCCTCTTCTTCTCGGGCCTCAGCCTTTCCTCCTCTGCATTTTGGGCCAAGCCAGCTCCCGTTAAGGGGTTAATAGTTTGGGCCGACAAGGGGACCGCCTGTGCTTGCACGTTGGCTGTGGCTTGGGCCTGCTCGTTGACCGTGGCTGGGGTGAAGGTTGGATCAGCCCATGAGTAAGTTGGGCTTGCTAGGGACAGGCCGAGGCCCATCTCAATGAGGCCTGCACTCACATCCCTGCTCCTTTCCCCTTCCCTAAGGTCCAGCCCCCTTTGCATCGCTCTGGACTCTGCATCCATCTCCCTTTCCATTCGATTTGGCTGTCCCGATGACGATCCGGTGTCTCCTCTGTAAATCCAATCAGAGCTCTGTACCGGCATGGATAAAGCTGTGAAACCAGGGGGTTTGACATTGCCCATGCCACCGACCCTGGTACCGGGTGGCCCATCAGTGTGAGGATGGAAGATTCCTTTCTGGCACCTCTGTTCTGCTGTTGTCCAGTACTATTGCTTGTCAGGCGGCGCATGTTCGCCAGCTTTTCCCGAAAGGACGCCGGTGGGATGTTCGCCGGAGAGTCGTGCCCAGCTTTGAGTGCATCCGTATAAACTTCAGACGGATCAGTGCAGAGTCCCTTCCTTCTGTTCTCTTCTCGCTCGAGGCAATTATGAATCAGATGCCCGAGCCTCCCGCAGAAATAACAGAGATCCATGATTCGTTCATACTTGAAGCTAACCCAAATTGATCTTTCCCCAATCGGATATTCGAACCCTATGGGGATAGGGTCATCGAGGCTGACTTCCACTTTGGCTCGGATGAACTTCAGCCATCCTCTGAACTCGAAATTTGACTGGTCGATGGTATGGTATTGAGGGAATATGAATGATGCCACCGCTTGGATTACTTCTTCATCTTTCAGTGACTCGGGTAGGTCGTGCATTTGTACCCACAGGGTGACTGTGGGTATGTCTTCAATCTCGGCTTTCTGCTCTCCGTCCCACTTCTTGAGAGCTATCAGTGTGTTGCTTAAGTTCCATGGCCTGGCTTCCCAGACTGCATCTCTTTGTTTTGCCGACTGGAAAGAGTAGACGAACAGGTTTTTAGCCTCTTTTGTTGCCTGAACCTCGCCATATGCCCTCCATTTCTGCATCGCTGCATTCTTCGCTTTTTGGAGGTTGATGCTCGAGTCTGTTACCCACCTTCCTAACAGCATCGCCATTCCACTGCCCCTGGCTCCCACCACTGTTGGTCGGACGTTGAGCACCAGATGGCTCTTCTCACCGCGGAGACTCCTAGAGTGCATTTCCATGGCGGTGGGTTTGGTGTGATTGTTTCGGCAGGGGAGATATATTGGTTTGGTTGGTTTTTTGGAGAGGAAATGAGCTCGTTCGGTTGTTTTGTATGCCAGGAGAGTGTGGAGAACAAGAGCGGCCGGGCCTTCCCTTAAATAGGCCTGGTTTCCCCGGATCAGGTGCTCTTTGCTTCTCTCTTGGGTATATTATGAATATATCTAATCTTTGTTTCCCCAGAATCGGAGGTTGAAGGAGATAATTATGAATATATTTAATTGAATTTTTATTGTCATTTTACTGTTATACTATCCGCACCCTCAATTAGGTATATATAAGACATATTAATATATCATATATGGTTAATTACTTAACTGGTTAATTTGGTTTGATTAGTTAGGAGTTGAAACCAAACTAAACCACCTAAACCAAACAAGCTAAAAAGTTTAATCAAATCAAACCAATTATCCAAATTAACCAAACCAAAATTTCCAAATATTCTCGATTTAAACGATTACCACGATAACCAGTTTGAACACCCCTAGTTCCAGGCCTGTGTCACTTTCTTCCATAGCTGGTCGGAAAAAGCCCAGTCCATATATTGCAGACGATCAATTGGATCTTGGTTCTTCAATCTTGTTCGGTTTGATTGAGCACGACTTTTTTTATAAGAAAAAGAAAAAACGTAGACATTGGACCAGTATATAACAAGTCTGGTGCCGAAACGCTTACATGGCGCTATTTCGTTCGTCGGTGACGAATTCGCTCAACACCGCACGTCGCCGCATCATGCTTGCAAATCACGAAAAATATATTAAAAAGGAATCGAAATGAAAACGGAGAATAAGAAGAGTCGGATTGGTAAATTGCAATTTGCAGAGAGGAGTCAGCTTGAGAAGACCAGCGCATCCCCGTTCCAGCTTTGCCCGACTTATTCCATCCCCAAGAAACCCAACTTCTTCCGACCCAATCCCCTCGCCTCTCTCGATTGATTCTCTCCAATTCGGATTCCACCTGATCGGAAGAAGGAAACTTCCATGGCAAACAGCAATCTTCCTCGAAGAATTATCAAGGTAGGGCACTGTTCTGAATTTTCTCTCGCTGCTTTGAAATCAATCGTCTGCTGCTCTGGCTGTTGGGATGATTTATAGCTTTTGATTCCATTTTTCATCACTTGGTTCGTTTTCTGCTTGTGTAGGAGACTCAGCGGCTCCTCAGCGAACCAGGTTTCCTCTCGCCTTTCTTTTCTCCTCTCCCTTCTCTAATAAAATCTACTAATCAGTGAAGGGTTTGGTGTTTGCTTTGCGTTCTGATCGCTGTTTGTCGATATGCTCATTAGGTGATCTTTTGGTACTGTCGCCATTCGACTATCTCGATTGGCTGCTTTGATTTGAAACCCTGACGTGGTTGATTGATATCGCCCCGATCTAGTAGATGGGAATTTGCTCCGCCATACTTATTTGGGCTTAGGCGACTGAAGCAGTTAGAAACTGGGGTTCTGACAATTGAATGGAAAAGGATAAATTGGGTCCTTGTATTGATGTTGTGCCTTGTGATGAAGTTTGTTTCAAAAGGGTCGAATTTTTGGAGCCTTTTTTGTCTTTGGATTCTCAGTGAGTACGTGTGGGTTTAAATTTAAAGTCATGGTTTGGGGTAGGAAGTGTAGCTCTTGAAGAATGACTTATCATAGAGACTTATAATGTATAAATGGAAATGGTTAGCTTGTTCTAGTGTACTGTAAAATTTCTTCCTTGCATATGCGATGTGCATAAACCCTTCCTCAATTATGATGAATGGCCCATTTGAATGAAGGTTTCTTTACTGTTTGGCTGCAGCTCCAGGAATTAGTGCTTCTCCTTCAGAAGATAACATGCGATACTTCAATGTAATGATTCTTGGCCCAACACAATCTCCTTATGAAGGTTGGTTCAAATCTGAATTCTCTTGCTAATGATGATATGTCTTGTCTGTATATATTTTCTCTTTGGGAATATATGAAATCATGGAGAATAGGGTGTTACAGCAGTCTATATCTGTCTCTTCACTTTTAAGTTGATCCAAATTTCCTTTCAGATATGATCTGTTTACTAATTGCTGTTTCCTGGTGTTTCAAATGTTTAAGATATGTTCCTGAATGCTTTTCTTCATTGGGTGTACTAACTTACTATTTATTTTTCCCCATAAATTTACTTAAGGTTTTGTATTTCATTTTCTTAAGCATATGTTGACAGTTCATGTTATCATTGAGATTCTTGTTCCAAAATCATTCTGCCTTTCACACCTAGTGGGTAGTGGTTCTGCTTACGAATTCATTCCAAAAGAAGGTGATTGGTGTGTGGCTGCTCTTTAACGTTGCTTCATATTGTAATTCTTTGATTTTCAATGTTCAGGTGGTGTCTTCAAGTTGGAATTGTTTTTACCTGAGGAATATCCCATGGCGCCTCCCAAGGTATTCCGGAACCTGTGTTAAATGAATGCCATCCTTGTTAATGATTGCTTCTCTACCTAATTTAAATGAATGAGAGAGATTTCTCGCTCTGCTCATCTTTCTAAAAGGTTTTTATACGATCTAAGCTCCAACATTAACTTTGTCTTTTTTTTTTGTCTAATCAAGTGAACAACTGTTGGGCAGTTGCATCTGTCGACAGGCAGCTGATACTGTACCATGTTTTATGCTGTAATTGTCATTGTAAAAAGTTGTTACATGAACGAGCTTCCAGCAGTTGTAGTGATAAATCATTCTTGCGTACACTAATTAAGTGAAGCAACTGTTTCCCAGTTTTATATGCCGGCAGACAATTGAGTACTGTAGTGTTTACTCCTGAATACTACTTGCTTTTTTATCACAGTTTGTTGTCTGCTTAAAATGGAGTGTGCTGTGTTACTATTCATTCACTTGAGGCTTGGATGGTATGATTGATCTCAACATTGTTGCATTTCTCATACCAAGTCTGTCTCAGTTGTCCTTGCTTTCCTGGCTTGTTGTTAGATGCCTGAGATGGTATTGGAGTCCCAAAATGTCGACAAGTATGGATAAACTGCCGTTTCATCTTCCTTATCTATTGTTGCATTGTGATTCATGTTGTTCCTTGTGAATAAGTCGCTATCTTTCATCACAAGAACTTGCAATTTGTGGACATTGTCGCCTAGTTAAACTTTTGGTAAACATCTTGATTGTTGTTCTTAGTAATTTGGTTGTTGAAATGACACGATGTTGGGCTTCATGGTTTGCCGTGCCTTAATCTATAAGTATGTCCATTCCACCTTTTGTTTATCTGTCAGTTTGTCTTTTCTTGTAACAGGTTCGCTTCTTGACCAAAATTTATCACCCTAACATTGATAAGGTGTGTATCCTGTCGCTCACTGTTTGACCTTCATTTGTGTTATTATATCTAACGTTACTGAACATGATTACTTTTGCAGCTTGGAAGGATTTGCCTTGATATTCTGAAGGATAAATGGAGTCCAGCACTCCAAATTCGAACGGTTCTGCTGAGGTGACATCTGGAATGGATTGTCAATTTGCTCTGTTTGCTTTTTCAACTGTACCTATGAAGTTTGTTAACTATGCCATTGAATGAATGAACAGTAGAAATTGTGAGATTTTATATATCAAAATGCTCACGTTTAGATATCGGTAGGTCTTACTGCTATTGAACTTCTTTCTGAATCAGCATCCAAGCTCTCTTGAGTGCTCCTAATCCTGATGATCCGCTTTCTGAGAACATTGCCAAGCACTGGAAGACAAATGAAGTTGAAGCTGTTGAAACAGGTACTGCTCGTGATTGCTTTTAGTTCTCTATTTTCATTCAGGTAGCGTCCTTTTATGCTGAAGCTCTTTTCCAATTTCGAGCTCACTGAGGAAAAAACCGAGTGAAACAGCCCTACTAAGATAACATTGTGAGCAAGAACCTGGAATGCCCCTAGCCGGGAGCTGCTACTTTGTGTGACAATGAAGGCTGTACTGAGCGAAACTAAAATTGGGCTCTCTAGCTGTTGTGCAAGTAAAAACAAACGTTTTACTTCCATTCTCACTGTGCATACCACTGTTGAACTGTTTTGCAGCTAAAGAATGGACCCGTTTGTATGCAAGTGGAGCATGAGGGAATGAAGCTTGAGCCATCCAGATGACTTTGCTATTACATTTGGTTGAATGAATTTGAAATGTAGTCTGTTGGTACCTAAATTGGAAACTGGGATGCTTAAAATGTATGCACTGAACACCATCAGATGCATGAATCCTTTTAGACTTTCAAGTACCGGAATTGTAACAGTACTATGTTCTTAAGTATACTGGGCAGCCTTTGAGACCTGTATCATAGCATCATCGTAGATTACGACGATGATGCCCCCTTAACATGTGATGCCTCCAAATCGTGCCAAGTCTCTTTTCAAGAACTGTTTGTTGTCCTAATACTTTCCCATCTTTGTTCAATGCAATCCAATCCATCCACCCAGAAAAATACAGGGTAATCAAAGTCAACCAAATAAGGGTGGAGTAGAGATGTTTTTGGGGCCTCGAATTGCAGGACCCTGGTCTGTCAAATCAACTCAAATACAGAAACAAGAAATAATAAAGTAACATGGTAATATGATCCTAATACCCTTGCTACTTCGGCACTGCTACGATTGAAATAGTTTCAAAGCGTCCTCTTGCGAGCAGCGGATGTTTGCTTCTTCTTTGATTCAGCGGCGGGTGCGGTGGAGAGATGATGAGCAGGCAGACGCCGTGGTATCTCATCTAAACTCTTCCTCTTGCGGGTAGCAGTAGCAGTAGCAGCAGCAGATTGCACCTCCGATTCAGCTGGTCTGGAGATCTCAGACGCAGTAGGCGACTTAGACGCCGCACCAAGGCAAACGGAGCTCTTAGCAGCAGCGGCCGATTGTTTCTTCGATTCTGCCACTCCGGTGGCGGAGAGATGGGCAGGGAAGTCGCCATTGGAGTTGAGTGTTCGGGCGGGTACAGTTGAAACGGATTGAGGACGAGAGTCGGCCGGTCCTGTTGAAGCGCTGCCTCCTTTGGAAGAGTGGAAGGTTTGGATAGAGGTGACGCGGCATTCTTGCCAGTTCAACTTGTCGAGGTCGTCGACTAAATCTTCCAGAGTGATGGACACGGACGGGAATATCCCAGAGCCGTGGTGTATGGTGGAGCGGGAGAGGTCCATCAGATCCAGTTCCTCCAATGCTTCGGTGAGATTTTTCTGGAATTGCAGAGACGAAACGTTTAACAAGTAAAGACGGGGTTGTTTGGTTACCGTGAAAATTTCCAAGTAATAGAGGAAGGACGGATGGATCTTGTAGCAGAAATACATATGCCAGTAACAATAAATTGTCTAGAGCAGAAACGGAAACCGTTTCCAGGCGGCCAAGGCGATGCAGCATCAATCCATAAAAACGAAACTCGTAACCAAAATTTTCCGTGGTGCCGAACAGAAAGAAACGCGCAAGCAAGCATCGGCACAGAAGAAATGAGAGAGCCAGAAACTGGAGAGAACTCAGAAGCAGCGAACGAAGTGGACAGCAGACCGAAAATTGTAAAATAGATCTTCATCGTTCTCCGTTTTCTCGGGAACCAATCAGGCAGTAGCAACCAATAATAAGGCAACGGATACGAGAACGGGAGACGTTTTACCTTGGGATTTTCTGTTACTTTCCTGAAACCGTGCAAGCTAATGATCTGTAACAGAGGAACGCAGAGACGAAAATGCAATCAGAAATCGCAACTTTTAGAACGTGTTTTTGGGACGGAAAGGGAAGAAAATAGCTAGATCGGAATGCGCCGGACCTGGTTGAGATCAGGGACAGGGAGAACGATTCGGGGATGGGAGAGGAGGAACTCCATGTATCGCTCCAGAGAAATCTTCTTCCGCGAGGCATTCTTAGCGCTCCGCATCTCCTTTCCTTTCCTTTCCTTGGCTTGGTAGCTGCTACTGATGGCTTTCAAATTTTCGCTCGCTGTTTCCTCTCTCTTACTTCTCCTTCTCGACTGTTCCCTTTGAAGCTAATTTATAGGAAAATTCAAATCTCTCTCTCTCTCTCTCTCTCGCTGACTTGCTCCTGCAGAACGGTACCCCACACGAAATGTTAAACAGCAATAAACTTGCGTCATTTGGTTATTTTCACAGCGCGCACAGTTTTATTTGATTTTTCTGCTTTTTTTTTCTTTTAGAAGAGTTCAAAATATGTTCTGCGAAATTTGTTGTTTAGTGTTTCCTATTATTACTAGTACTAGCTTTTACTCGAATGAATTTTACTTTCTTCTTTATATTGATTAATTTATTATTATATTTAAAATATTTATCTGATTTGTTGGTCGGATGAATTTTATTTTATTTTATGTTGATTAATTTCTTTTTATTTTTACATAATTTGATATTTTCTAAAATAGTTAATTCATTATTTCATATTAATTTTATGGTATTTTTTTATTATAATATTAGCGATAATTAGTTAATATGTATTTTTTATCAAGTCATCCTAGTTTATTGTTGTGTATTCTTTTTTTCATATCTTAAAAGAAATTTATGGACTTTTATTATCGGATATAATTTGGAGTTGGAAAGAAATATATGTCATCTATAATTGGTAGGAATTGAAAATATATAAAAATCAAGAGAATAACGAAAAGATTATGCCTAAAAATCTCAAATATGGAAGAACAGGAAAAAATAATGACTATTGTATAAATTATTATAATTTAGTGTATATACTTGTCTGAATAATGAGTGGGAGTTGTTAAATATTAGATACTAAGAGCATCTGCATTGATGCAATTGAAAAAGCCAATTAGATTGATGGAATTGGAATATCACTTTCAAGTGATGAAAGTTTACACCTTGTACAATTTCTAACATGCGGTAGGACCTTTTAATTCTTTCTTCTTTTCCATCCATTCTTTTCTTTTGGACCACGTGTTGTCATCTCTTCCCTCCATTCTATAGCCAAAAACATTGTCATATATTATCTTCTTTTGTCATCATTCATTCATTTTATTATTTTGTAATATATGTGGTGTGTTGCACAGATTAAAAACATACTATTAATTAAACATATAATGTATTATTTAATTAGTAACTCAAATTTTATAATTATATTTATTGGAAACAACCTTCTTTCTCTCTTTTCTTTCGCTCTGAACCACTCCTCCGATATCGCGATGGGTGCCGTCGTCGGCGAGGCCACCCAAGGCTCCGTCGTCGACGACCGCCCTTGGACCTCTCTCTTCGGAATTGCAGACGACAATCGTCTTGAGTACGTGGAGCCTATTCTGGTGGATGGTTTTCTTCAAATCCCTCAAGTTCTATGTGACGAAGGAGCGAAAAGATGGAAAACAGCTTGGTAGGACAATTCCTGGGGAAACCTCCTCTGTTGTGGGCAATCCGTAGCTAGGCGAATCGTTTTTGGGGTCGAGATGGGCAGGTACATGTATTGGTTATGTGACCGATTAGTTCTCTTTCAATTACCTTCCGAAGCTGCGTGCAACTGGGTATTTGAAGAAGGACCTTGGCACTTGCGAGATGACATGTTATTTCTCCGCCTATGGGAAGTTGGGATTCGAGCCGTAGAATTGGATAATAAGGCGCTTTCAATATGGGTTAAGCTGATTGATTTTCAATTGGAATTGTTTTCGAAGGATGGATTAGGAAGAGTGGCAAGCTTAATTTGGAAACCACTTTGTATGGATCAACCTACACGCAAGGGTTTAAAGTTAGGGTATGCAAAAACTGTGTGGAGGTAGAGGATGTTGCAAAGTTGATTGACCAAGTTAGGTTTGCTTTTGGAGGTAGTCTGGATTTTACAATCAAGCTTGAATAGTGTCACTTGCCAACTCGGTGTCAAGCATGTAGAGTATTTGGGCATGATTGTGATAGCCCTATTGGAGAGGTAAAAAGGATATGGAAGAAGAAGGAGCTGAATATTGTGCAAATCCCAGATATTGCTGGTGCTGTTGAACTAAGTCAGGATGGGGGTAAAGGTAAAGAGATTCTCTCAAGCCCCTAATCTCCCACTTCTGTCCTGGTTAATGGGGCTAGTACTTCTTCCCCTCCTATTACTCCCCAAGAGGCCCCTCTAGTGGACAAAATACCTAAGCTGATTAGCTGAAGATATGGAAGGATTTACCAGATGTACCTCAGATGGATTTTCTGTCTGCAGTTAAGGGAAGAGATGTCATTTTACAACCTTTGATGAAAGGTCAGAAGAAAGGAGTTAATGTTGGTCAAGGTGATAAGGGTAGGGGTGATAAGCCCCATCCTTCAAGATGAATTGGCTCATTTGGAACTCGAGGGGTTTTAATAACCCCTCCAAGCACACTTCTGTGCTTGATTATTTAGGTAGGTATAAGGTGGAGTTTGGTGCTATTCTAGAAACTCGTGTTCAAGTTAGTAAATCAGCTGAGATCATTGCAAAATTTGATGATTATGAGATTTTGCCAAATTATAATCATGCATCCTTAAGGAGAATTTAGTTTTTTTGGAGAAAAGGGCTGCAAGTGGTGAAAATTAGTGATGGGGCTGATTTTATGCATATGTTAGTACGAGCAAATAATAGGATTAGCTTCTTCTTTACAATAATCTATGGCTCTAATGAGGAAAAGGAGCGAGCTACAATGTATTCTGCTCTCTCCCCGTTTGATGTTCATGGTTTTCTTTGGTTGGCAGCAGAAGACTTCAACGTTATATTGAATCCAAATGAGACTTCTAACTCAGTGGGTATAAATTCCAGCATGGCTGACTTTAGAAATTAGATTCACAATATGGAGCTGGATGACCATAGATTTTCTGGTCCTGGGTTTTCATGGACTAACAGCATGTAGCAAATCTCATTGCTAAAAAGCTAGACAGGGTACTAGACAACTCAGATTGATATTCTTCTTTTCCCTATTGTGTAGTGGATTTCCTTCCTCCTGACTTTTCAGGTCACTGTGGTATGCTTGTCAAGCCACCTTCTTACAAAATCCTTTCCAAAGCCTTTTCGCTTCTTTGAAATGTGGGTTATGCATCCCTCTTATATGGACCTTATGAAGAAAGCATGGACTACAACAACAGAGGGGTCGAAGGTATACACTTTGAAGATGAAGCACTTATCTGCCAAGCAGGAGCTTAAGAAGTTAAATAAAGAGAAATTTGCTGATATCAGTGGTTAAGTTAAAGAGGCAGAACATGTGTATAGAGAAGCTCAAATAACTTCTTTGACTGCACCTTCTAAAACAAATTTTTCTATGGAACAGAGTCTAGCTACTGAATTATTTCAACTGATGAAAGCAGAAGAGAGTTTTTCCAGGCAGAAATCTAGAGTGCAATTGTAACGCCCCGACATTTGAGTCTAAGTTCGACCGAACGATTGGATCGATGTTTACGTACGAAAGATTGCATCCGTGGGTTAGAAATAATAATAGTAGTTATCAATCTTACTGTTATTATTAATTATATAATTCCTCATCATCCCCACGTTACCTAGGAGCAATTAAAAGGGGGAAAATTAATAATAAGAAAACCCCAAACCCCATCAGTGCCCCTCTCTTCCCCGTCTCTCTCTCTCTCTTCCCCCCCAATAATTCCCCAAACGTCCCAACCCCATTATTGTTCCCCAACGTAAAACCCTATGTTCACCCTTTCTTCTAATTAACGAGCAGCAGCGGAAAAGGAGATAGGGACTGTCCGGTAGAGAGGGAGAGAGAGAGAGTTGTAGCCTCATCGATCGCTTGGAGAGCCGGAAGCGGATGCCAAAACCCACATGAGAGAGGGGGACAATCAAGGAATCTAGATTGACCGGTGGCAGTCTAAATGGAGTACAGGTCGATCGCAACTGGGAAGCTAAGATCGACAATGATAGCTAGCGCTGATGATGATGGCGATTGACAAACAGAAGTACCGAGGGAACTGGAGCGATATATGTAAAAATGGTTCTTAAAGTTTACGTGCAAAGACGGTGGATGTCTTTATGTTGCTGGAACTCAGGCGACGTGAAGGAGAAAAGGGAGGTAAGGGTCTTTCCTGTTATATTCGATCATGGTGATTATATATACATGGTCATATATAGTTAATTGGAAGACAAGTACGATTTACCTGAGTTCAGGGTAAATGATTTGGGGAAACTAACGATGACATGCTTTGTCAAAAGTGGCTCTATCCTAGGATCCGGGGGAAAACGTGCATGTCTTGCCTAATGGTAGTGTTTTGGCACATCATTGAGCTAAAATACTAATTTGGATACTTATGCATGGAGTTTGAGACACGTGAATGGAGTATGCTTAGCATGGAAGATCCTCTTTAAATTAATACCAGGATTATATGGGTTTGACAGTGGGTATTGGAATTAGACTAGATCACTTATCTTTCACGGTGCACACCTAAGTGGCTACGGGTACTGGTATTAAGCTAACGAGGCTTAGGGACTAAAGCAGAGCCATTTCAATGTGGGGATTCGCAAACTGGACCATTTACTCTGAAGTTTTAGATCAAATAGACACGGTATAAGAATATAGGATGTTATATGGGTGACTTTGTGATCATTTTAGTGGGTACATGAATGTTTTTTCTTAGGGAAGGAGGAGTACGAGATCACATTACTAGAGAAGGAATGGAGATTGAAGAGAACGACTTCAGTGAATTCGAGCCAATCGATTCGAATAATAAGGTGAGTGTAAAGGGGGTAAAATCTCAGTTGTAGGTCTTTAATTTATGCTTTTATTTTCAGTAATGTTGGCTAATTTTATAAGTATGCGCGATTATGTGTGAAGGCATCCCACCGCCTACTTAAAGTGGAGGCACGCGTTGTGCTATGTATGTGTGTGTTTATGATGTATGGATGATGATAATTGAACCCCCGGGCGGTTGGGCCACTACTGGACGCGGTAGATGGTCGGGTCACTACTGGACGGCGATACGTAACGCAGTAGTTGACCGGGCATGGACTGGACGGCGATACGTAACGCAGTACCATTGCCTTGAGGATAGGGACACCGGACGGCGATACGTAATGCGGTGATTCCCTAGTAATAAGTATATAAGTTAAGGTAGTAGTAG